TGCGTGCGTCCTCGGCCTCCGAGACAGCCCCGCGCTCTTATTGGGGGACACTGGGCACAGAGTTGGTGGGTGGGGGCCTGCAGTTCGGCCGGTCTCCATCCCTGCCACCCTGGGCGCTAGGGGAAGGCCCAGGTGGGCAGCGGCTGTTCCCGTCCAGAGCAGCGCGCTGGCCACTGGCGGGCACAGTGCCCCGCTACCTGCGTGTTTGGGGGATGAGATTGGGAAACGGTTTCAAGATGTGGAAAGAGGCCCATGAACTGGAGAGGAAGCCGAGAAGAGAGGACTGCCCGCTGCCCCAGAGCGTGGGTGGTGATCCCACGGTGAGGTCCTGTCCGGTCAGAGCCTTGGCAGCTGAAGCATCAAGGCAGGCAGCGCAGCGGCCATGATGGGAGCCCAGACTCATTCACAGACGGAACCCGAGCCTGGACCCGTGAGTGCTGAGCGCCCCTTGGGATGCTGGGCTGGAGGGCGGGGGGGGGGGCTGGGGGGGGCTGGGGGGGACCCGCTACTGTGGGAAGGACACTGGCCTGGGACGGTGCCTGACAGCTGCCCTGGGCGGCCCCTGGCCCGCACTGGCACAAGCTGGGCAGCAGCCAGGAGGCTGGACGAGGAAGCCTGTTTGAGCATCAATGAGCAAAGTATGTGTTAAGGCAAGTGCTTGTTTCTCAGGCCGGGTTAGAGCTGGCCGCAGTGTTGGTGGCATTGTGGGCAAGGGTCGACAGGAGGGACCCTCCTCCACCTGCCACCCCCTTTTCAGGAGGATCGATTTGCTCGAGAGGGCCCAGTAACGTCTCCATTGGAGACTTTGTTGTTACTGTGTCTGGCATATCGAATACTCTCGGTAGCTTGCCGGGCTCTCTGAGAGGGGCGGAGGAATCGAACTCGGGTCGGCCATGTTGGCTGTGTGCAAGGCAGACGCCCTACCCGCTGTGCTATCAGGAGGATCAAAAAACCAAAAACACTCTGCTCACGGTGGACCTGGGTTCAATCCCTGCCACCCCCTAGAGTCCCCTGAGCCCCTCCAGGAGGGATTCCTGAGCGCAGAGCCAGGAGTCGGCCCTGAGCACTGCCAAGGTATGACCCCAAAACCAAACAACAAAAAATGCCCTGTCCAGTGCCCGCCCCCCCGAAATCTGGCCTTTAAGCAGCTCCACTGTTACACCCAAGGTTGAACCACTCCCCATGATCGCACCTTGCTGCCCCCATCATGAGGTAGCTCCCAGTTTGGGAAGCCTGGGTGCCAACCCTTCTCACCTGCAGTCAGCTCTACTGTTGGCTCACGGGGTAGCCTAAGTCTGCAGACAGGAGCTGGGTGAGCAAGGGCCCCGGAGTTATGCCCCCTCGGGTCTAGGTGAGGGCATCTGCTCCCCAAACTGCTCGTGCAGAACGTCCCGGTGGCCTGGGGAAAGGTGTAGAAGGGGCAAGTGAATCTGTGTCTGGAGTTAAGGAGCAGCATTTATTCATGTCCCATGCGCCTACATGAACTGGCTCCCCAGGTGCGGACACCTGCTCTATGGTGCCCTGTGTGCTGTATCGTGTATATGTCTATACCCCGAATCCAGAAATAATGAGAAAATTCCAGCCCGTGCTTATGGCAATATCCCCAGAAATTCACCTTGGTAGCAGGTAGTCCCTTTGGGGAGAACCGGATCAGGGGCCAGGGATCATGGCTGGCAGGAGTTGGGGGACACTGCGTGTGGTATTGGGGCTCAAAGGCGAGCGCCCTATCTGCTATACTCTCTCCCTAGGGGAAGAAATTTCTTTTTATAAAAACTGTGTTGTTTGGGAGGGGGGTCAGTCACACGTGGCACTGCTCAGGGATCACGCCTGGCAGGCTCTGGGCACCATATGGGGTGCTGGGGATTGAATCTGGGTCAGGCACGGGCAAGGGAAAATACCCTACCCACTGGACTATCTCTCTGGCCCCTAGGGGAAGAAATTTGGATGGGACAGTGGTGCTTTTGCACTTGCAGACGGGGCAGGTGAATGAATATATATACCATCTCTCAAATCCCTTCTGGGCCAGGGTTAGGGTGCTGGTGAGTGAATACTCCAGTGGACCTTTCTCCACCCCACCCCCGCCACCCCAGTTTCTGATGAATCTTCTCAGTGCCTTTCTAGAAGGTTCCAGGACCTTTTGCCGAGCTGACTGGAGCTGAACTGACACATTTTTCCGCACCTGCACCACACGCTCTTGCCGAAAGCCTTGGCTACCTTCTCCTTCTGAGATAGTCAACTGTTTCTTGGCTTTATTTTTGCTTGGGGGCCACACCCCAGGGTGCCCAAGTCTTACTCCGGGCTCTGTGCTCAAGGTTCACTTCTGACGGTGGTCTGGGGACCATATAGGATGCCGGGGATTGAACACAGGTCCAGCATGTGCAAGACAGGCGCTACCCTTGCTGCTGTCCTGCCCCTGCAGGCCCTCGGCCCCTGGACTCCTTTCATCTGAGTGCTGCTTGGGCTGAGCCCCCATGCCTGGCTCTGCCTTTTGTCCAGATTCTGGGGGCGGATGCTTGAGGCGGGAGGGGGCGGGTGGCACAGGGATTGTGGGACCATCCAACCTACCTACCTGGCAATTATTTCTGCCAGTCCTTCTGTCCTGGGAATCTGTGTCTGAAGTTAAAGAGCAGCGTTTATTCAAACCCCTGAGAACATGTCACATTCTAATAATGGGGAAGGCGGCTTGAAAGCATTTCCTTCCAAATAATTGCTTGTTTTTATAGAGGAGGAGGAGGGAGTGGGAGGAGGTGCAGGGGAGGAGAGGGGAGGCGGGGCTGGTAGCACCCCTGAAATCCTGAGCTGAACCTGGGAGTGCATTTCCCTTTAGCAACGCTGGGGGATTTTGACTGTGGCCAGGCTTTGTCTTAACAAGTTTGGGGGGGTACAGGGGGTACACCCAATAGTGTTCCTGGTCCCCTGACTTGTTGGGACGGATCCTGGGACTCCTGCCAAGCCACTCCCCCAGTCCTGTATAATCTTGATTCTGTCTCTGATCATTGGTGTCTGGATTTATTTCTCCATCATGAATCTTTTATGTGTAGGGGTGGGGGATGGGAGTGGAGCACCCCCGGTGATGCTCAGGGCTCACTCCTCACCCTGTGCTCAGGGATCACTCCTGGAGGGACTGAACTAAGGGCAAGGCAGGTGCCTTAGTTTTCTTCTCAGCCCTTGATTACAAATGAGTCTTAAAAAAAAAAAATTTTCCCCCTCAGCCGCGGTGTTCAAGGGTAAGATGAGGTTTTATTTGTACCAGCCAATAGACCGGTAGAGGCAGGGATGGCAGCGGGGCCTCTGAAATGTGGTCCTGTGACTCGTGAGATACTAAGGGGGAAGCTGTCCCGGAAGACAAAGGGAGGGGGTGTCCTCACCAGCACCCCAGGGTCTGTTTCTCTGTTATGATCCAGAGAATAGCATCATCTTTTAGCACCAGTCGGAGATCTCGTTGCTGCCTCCATGGGGCAGGAGAAAATATCCCTGATGTGGTGGCATCTGTGTGTCTGGGATAGCAGTGGGAGAATGGCACATGGGGTTTGTGGCATTGGCGATCAGCACTTACTGGGCACACGGTGGGTAAGAGACCCTGTCATCACGCACCTGCAGACGCCCCCCACCCTCAGATGCCCCCCACCCCCACAGCTCCATATTGGCTGGTGCACGGACTCCTGGACTCACGAGTCATGTCCTTGGGGCTTGACTCTGCCCTGGGATCCCCGAGAGGCCACCTTGGTACCCAAGGTCCTTAAAAAGCCCCTCTGGGTTCTCCATTCCAGTCCTGTTTCATTCAGAAGCCACACCTGGCATTAGCCAAAGGACCAAAGAACCATTTCCATGGTTTCTTGTAAAGGTGTTGTTCTGCTTCATTCTCATCCATTTTTTTTATGGTGGAGAGAATAGATGGGCTGTCCCATGAGAATGACACTGTGTGTGTGTGTGTGTGTGTGTGTTTTGTCTTTCCTGTTAGTGATTTCTATCCTCCCCTCCTCCCAAAGCTCCCTTAAAAAAAAAAAAACTCTTAAACAAAGCCGACTTCGTCTTGATAAATAGCGATCAATGGCTATGGCAATCCCTTTGGGTAAATGAATCATTCCTTGATTATACCTGAAAGAGGAAATACCCACATTTGTGTTTGGGGCTCCCTGTTCCTTCCCCCTTTGACCTGACACCACGAGTGGCCAGGAGAGGAGCAGGTTTGGAAGGGGAAAATCGCGTGTGATTCTCAGAGCCTTGGAACACACACACACACACACACACACACACACACAATCTTAAACACTTTTATTTTTTAGCACAAAATCATCTCTCCAGGACCACACTGCCAGAATAAGAGCAATCCCAGAATTCTAACTTTATTTCCCATGTGGGAAGCTTCATTTCCATGGTGACACGGGGCGGAAATCACTCTACACGTCCTGCATACACTGGACTCTAGTACTCGTGGACTGGAACACAGAAAACGAAATGGCCGCTCGGGGGCCGGACAGGTATATACAAGTATAACTGTAAGAACACGTGACAGCAAATCGACTCTTAGATACAGGGGCACACGGACACAGCTCTGTCCCTTCTGGTTGCCTGACCTGGCCCTGAGGCCCTGGGCCGGACAGGCTCTCTTCTGGAAAGGTCCGTCTGCATTTCCATTGTTTGCATCCAGGCAGGAGCTGACAGTGGCATCCATCAGCCTTCCCTCAGGCACTGCACTCCGAGTTGGACCCCTGCTTAGCGGCCCCCTATTCTCTATTCTAGAAGCCAGCTGTGATGATGGATGGGGGTGGGGGAGAAGTAGGGGGCGGTGTGTGTGTGGGGAGCTCAGGCCGTTTGGCAGAGCTTGGACTTTATTTGGGGGGAAGGAGTTTGGGTCACACATGTAAGCTCAGGGCTTACGTCTAGCTCTACACTCAGGAATCATCCTGGTGGTACTCAGGGGACCAGATGGGGTGCCGGGGATCGAACCCGGGACGGGCACATGCAAGGCCAGCGCCCTCCCGGCTGTCCTATCACTCCGGCCCCGAGCTTGGCCTTGTGAGGATTTGATCTTCGCAGGCCCTTCAGATAGCGGTTTGGAGGTCTCCGTTGAGGAGGGTCCTCTGCGTCTCGGTGGTCTCGTTCAGCCGGGACTTCTCCTGCTTGCTGTCACTCCGTTCCCCGTCGTCCGGGCCGCTCATCTTGACCAGGCAGAGAACATTCTGGAAGCTCTTCTTGAAGTTGTCGGACAAGAAGGCGTAGAGGATGGGGTTGGCGCAGCTGTTGGCGTAGGTGAGGATGACCACGAAATCGAACATGCCTTTCAGGGCGGGCGTGGGGCTGATAACCACGGACACGGAGGAGACGTTGAAGATATAGAAGGGGAGCCAACAGAACATGAAGACGGCCACCACGATGGACACCATGCGGGTGACCTTCTTCTCCGACCTCTTCCTCTTGGAGGAGCCCACCCGGATGCCCGAGGACTTGACTTTGATGATGATGAACAGGTAGCAGAGGCAGATGATGGCGAGGGGCACCAGGAACCCCAGGATGAAGGCGTAGATGATGAAGCCGGTGTACCAGGCCCCCGATTCCCCGGGCCAGTTGATGGTGCAGCTGCTCCGCCCCCACTGGTTGCTCCGGAGCCCAGCGTAGATCATGATGGGCAGGATGACCACCAGCGAGACCCCCCATACAGCCAGGCTGATCATCTTGGCAGTCCGTGGTCGCCTCCACTTGGCGGACTTGATGGGGTGCACCACGGCCAGGTAGCGGTCGATGCTCATGACCGTCAGGCAGAAGATGCTGGTGAACTGGTTGATGCCATCCACCGTCATGACCACGCGGCAGATGGCCTTGCCGAACGGCCAGTGCACCAGCGCCACCTGCATGGCCAGGAAGGGCAGCCCCAGCATGAAGAGCTCATCGGCGATGGCCAGGTTGAGGATGTAGATGTTGGTGATGGTCTTCATCTTGGCGTAGCGGAGGATGACGTAGATGACCAGCGTGTTGCCGCACAGGCCCACGATGCAGACCACAAAGTAGATGAAGGTGAGGACTGCGTTGCTGGCCGTGTCATAGTAGGGCTCTGTTAGGTTGGAGCCGTTGGTGGCCGCCACCCACCCGTCAGCGTCCAGCGGAGATGGGGAGAAGCGGCTCCCATTGAGCAGCTCGTCTGCCAGCTCCATGACCAGGGACTATCCCAGGCTGGACGCCACCAGTCCCCAGATCTTACTCTCTCCTTAGTGGGTCCCAGAGCCTGGGATCTGCTGTGACATCTGGGGAGGAAGGAAGGAAAGGAAGGAGAGATGGAAAGGATGGAAGAAGGAAGTAAAGAAGGAAGGAGGGAGGGAGAAGAGAGAGGAGGGAGGGAAAAGAAAGGAAGGGAGTGAGGGATAGAGGAAGGGAGGGAAGAAAAGAAGGAGTGAGGGATGGAGGGAGGGAAGGAGGGTCCATCAGTCGGTTGTTCACCCGCCCTGGCTTGCCCCCTTTCCTGTGGACCCTTTCAGATTCGTTCTTCACCTGAAAAATCCCAGGTGGGTGCTTCCTTGGTCCAAAGCACCCTATATATTTTTTTCATACCCTGGGCTTACTCCTGGCTTTGCACTCAGAGATCACTCCTGGCAGGCATAGGGGACTGTATGTGGTGCCAGGGATCGAATCTGTTGGCAGCAGGGAAAGTCAACGCCCTACCTGCTGTACCATTGCTCCAGCCCCAGGGTGACACTTTCTGATCCCTGTACACTGCTGGAGGCTTTGCTTGCGTGGGAAGGGTGTGGCTCGTGCCCTCCCAGGTAACCCCGTCATCTCTGGTGGCACATGTGTGGGAGATGGCCTTGACTGCAAAAAAAAAAAATGTACTTTGATCCCTAGGCAGTTGACAGGTCCGCATGGTCTCAAAGCTGAGCTGTGATTTGAGGGGTTGTGGTTTGGCACTGACTGACCTGCCAGGGGGCTGATGCTGGCTTGGAGGAATGCCACGCCCACTTGCTGATTTCTTGGGGAGTCTCTCTCTTTCTGTTCTTGGGCTATACCCAGTGGTGCTGAGGGCTGACTCCTGGCTCTGTGCTCAGGGATCATTCCTGGTTGTGCCTGGGGGACCATATGGCATGCTAGGATTGAACCCCGGTTGGCTGTGCAAGGCAAGTGCCCTACCCACTATATTATCATCCCTCCAGCCCTCTGTTCTCATTCTCTCTCTCTCCACGCTTGCTTGCTCTCTGTGCTCTCTCCCTCTGCCCAGGGAGCCCGTTCATTCTAAAAAGCTGGAATGGCCGGGGGGGGGGGGGGGGGGAACGGGACACTCTGACATCAGAGTCAAAGCAAACCTGGACTCCACCCCCAAGGCCTTGTGACAGAGCTAGCCTGCCACCTCTCTGATGGTCAGGAAAATGGGTCATCCTGATGGTGAAACAAGGATCATATGTTCCTGGGCTGGAGACTGGAACTCCGTGTTTCTCCCATCACGTTGATTCCTTGTTAAAATCTACCTTGGGTCGGAGCAGTATTACAGCGGGGAGGGCACTTGCCTTGCATATGGGACCCCCCCCCCCCAGATTCGATCCCTGGCATCCAGATAGTTCCCTGAGCCCCACCAAGAGTGATCCCTGAGTGCAGAGCCAGGAGTCAGCCCTGAGCACTTCTGGGTGTACCCCAAAGTCCCCTGCCCCAAATTCTACCTACACAATATAGTTTTATATATACATGTTATATATAATTTTTGGTTTTGGTTTTTATTTGGCCACACTGGGCAATGCTCAGGGGTTACTCCTGGCACTGCTCTCAGGAATTATTCCTGGAGGGGCTCAGGGGACCAAATGGGATACAAGAAATCAAACCCGGGTTGGCTGTATGCAAGGCAAATGCCCTACCTGCTATACTATCGCTCTGGCCCCAATATACTTTATTATTTTTTTTTCTATAACACTGAGCCTCAGCCCTTGTCCAGCCCTCTGGGATGTTGAGTGGCCAGCCCCCGCCCCCCACCTCACCCCCATCCCCAGCAGAGGGTGGAGCTAAGACCCCTAGAGAACATGGTCGGGACCTCTAGAGGTTTTTCTTTTTTAAATGAAGCTAAGTAGTTTTTATCAACGGAAACTTGCCTGGAACACTATGAGAGGAGAGGAAGCGAGGAAACGTGTTCAAGAGAACACAGGCTGCTCCGGAGTAGAAGTCAGCCAGCAGGCAAGACAGCGGGAGACGAAGACGCGTTCCACGTGGGCGGAAGAGGGAGCCTCGTCTTCAACATCAAAAAATCGTAAGAACTCTGGTTGGCTTGGGCTTGATTCTGGTTTTAAATTTGGGGGTGAGAGGGGGGGTGCTCTCCGGTGATTCTTGGAAAGATTCGCTGCTCAGGGTCACAGGGCAGGCTGGGGTGGGGGTCCGCGGAGCCATTCACGGGGGCCTCTCCCGTGTTTGCCCCCCCCCCCCCCCCCCGCCCCGCCTCCCTCCCGCACCCCGCCTCATGAGCTGTCTCTGCCCTGGCTTGCTTTTATTTTCGAAAGGCATGCTGGAGTTTATTTTGATTCCCTCTGAGGCTTGTTTTTGTGCTTCTCCAGTGTCCAGTGCTTGACCTCCTCATGCCTCTGAGAGCCCTTTTCCAAGTGGAATGCGGAGGCTTCAGAATACGCCTCCCGCCATCCCCCTGAGTAAGGACAAAAGCAGAGGTTCCCACCTCAGAGGCAGGCTCATGCCTGGGGCTGACAGCCCCCCTCCCCCCCGCGGGGCTCTGTCACAGAACCCGTCCCTCCTGGGTCCCCTCAGCCACCCCATCAGGTGGGGCACAGATCCTTCCTCCACCCCCATCTCAGAGCACGAAACTGAAGCTCCGATGATGAAGTCATTTGCTCTTATTCCCTCGAAGCTGGGAGAACTCAGATTTGATCTCAGGATACCCCCCCATTTCTTTCCTCCCCCCCTTTTCAGCTCCCCCCCCCCTCCCGGCACATCAACTGCTCGGCAGGCTGGAAAATGAGCCGCAGGTGATTGCGGTTTGATTGAAACTAGTGGCCCCTCCGTGTGGAGACACCGTCACATGGTGGGCGTGGACCCCAAGGGACAACAAGCGCACGTCACTGGAATTTAGCTTGTCATTCCCAGAAATTAAAGAGGGGAGGGGGGCGGGGCTGCCTTCCGCCGGGACATCAGCGCTTCACAGCAAGGAGCAAGAATGGGCTGGAGCCTCTAGGAGGCGACAAGTTCGTGGAGGAGAGAGACAAGGAACCGGGTTAAAGAGGGTGTGAACTGCATGGAGCGAGAAATGAGGGATTCGGAACACGGTTCTGCGTGTGCGCCCAGGGGCAGGGTGCGCGCGCGGGCGCGCGGGGTGGGAGTGGGGGGGCTGGCGTGCAGAGGGTTGTTTGAGCCGGTTTGGTTTTTTTTTTTTTTTTGTCTCTTGTTTTGGCTGTGGTTACAGGGGGGGATGGAACTCTGATCTGCCGCACGCAAGGCAGGAACTTGACGGCGCAGCCACACCCCGGGGGCTGTCTGGACTCGAAGAATTCAAGTAGAGGGGGGAGGGCAGGAAAGGAGGTTAATTACGGGAGGGGTGTGGGAGGGGTGCCCCTGGGGGTGCATCCTGGGCACGACACTTTTCCTGGCGCCTGAGCAAAGAGGAGAGACGTTTCCTTGCGGTTTGGAGGGAGCTGCTGTGAGCCCCGAGGGTCTTAGCCACCGTCCTGACGGACCCCGCCCTCCAGCCTCCAGCACGCCCTCCCCGGGCGAGTTTCTCATCCCTCATCTCCCGCCCCCTCCCACTGTGTGGCGTTTCTGCAGAGCGTTTTGGGAACCCGACTCTTAACGCCTGCCTTGGGCAGAAAGCAGAAGCCCGTCGTCGTTGTTCAGAGCAGCGCTAGTTTTGGATTATTTTGTGTCTCTCCGCCGGTGTTTCCTTGTCAGTTACCTGCAAGCCACAGACCCGGAAGTCTCGTTTAGCATCCCCCCACAGGGTTTATTAGCATATGTAACGGTATATTAGCATATTTAACGGGCCAGGGTACAGCCTCTGAAAAGGCAGACCCCCGGGAGCAAAAGCCCCACCGCTGAGCGGCCAGCCCGCCCGAGAGTGAGGGGCGGTGACGGTGCAGGTGGTCTGGGAAGTCAGCCCTGACTTCAAATCTCCCTGCCCTCCTGGATGGAGTCTCACCAAACGGGACACAAAGCTATTTCTCTTATTAATTATGATTATCCTTTGCTGGGGAGCTCCCCCAAAGGAGAAAGGAGTTTGTTTCAATCACAGCGCCTCTGATGTCAGCTGCCTGAGCTCGGGGTCCTGGCCAAGGAGGGGGGGCGGCGGCGGGGTTCGCGCTAGGCGGGCAGATGCTTGCTGGATGGTGATTCAATGAACCCACAGGAAAGTCCGGCTTTGGTCGTTTTTTTTTTTTTCTTTCTGTCTTTGCAGGGCTGAGAACGGGCAGATCCCAGGGAGGGCTTGTTGTCTGTTCGTGCCCGAGCAGTCTGCGTTTCCCCCTCCCCCTGGGGACTGTGTGGATCAAGGATCCAGCGCTGTGGGGGGAGAGGGGGAGGAGACCAGCTTCGACAGGGACACTCAGCCTCACTTTCCCCTTTTGCCAACTCAGCCCCCACCCTCCACTGCCCTGTGGGCCTGCTGGACCCGACTGAGTGTGTTCGGAGGGCTCGGAGCCCCGCCGACAACCACCCGGGCAGACGTGCCACCGCAGCGCTCGTGCACCCGGGAAACGGGTGGGCAACGCCGGCCAGGGGCGCGGACTCCCAGGCGGGCACAGGCGCATCCGACTCTCAGACCTTCAGCCCCCGAGGTTTCATGGATTTCCCGGTATTTCCAGGAGGGGGAGGGTCATGGCCTTTGTGGGTGCTACCAGGCTCGGGTGGCACAGTCGGGTGGCACAGGGAGCAGCTATGGCTGGGCATCCCCAAACCCGAACACATGAGCCTCCCCGCCCTGCGCTGGGGGAACGGCCCCTTCTTCTCCCCTTTGGGATCCGTCACCTGGACCCGGTGTGGGCGCGCACAGGCGCTTCTGGGCGCACCCCCCACACACACACACACATTCCCTCTGCCACCCATCAGGTGGGGTTTTCTGAGTAGGTGCTAGGAGAGAAGTTGCCCCACCGCCGCTGTCACCGGGATGCCAGGCTGGGGCACGCGGACTGAGCAAGGGCGCCCTTCCGTAGCGGCACCCGCAACCCACAGCGCCCCACACTGTCAGGGCACCCAAACCGC